AGGACCAAACATCGGAAGTCTGGGTTCTGGTCCTAGTGCTATAATATTATGCAAACCACTTTATTCTGGGTGAGAAGCGTACGTGTGTGTGTGTTTAGGTGTGTGTCTGTAGCACGAGGGAATTGAAGTGATCTCTCAAATTTTTTTCCGGTTTTAAAGCTAGTGATTTTGTGATTTTACATTGGGTTAAGGTTCTTGGGATAACAGTAAAGCCATCTATGCTGATGTGAGTGGAAATTTTCTTTGGCTAAATTTTAGTTCTTTAAATAGTAGCCAACAGTCCTAAGTTTGGTTCCTTGCAACTTTTTCGAATAAAGGGGGGAAAAAAAAATCCTCTAGAAAGGTGTGCCATTCTCCTTGCCCTCCCGTCCTTTGCTCCATGTAGCATCTGCACCAACCTCATGCAGACGGACCTTTTATGGCCATTTTAACAGGAGTTGAAACTGACTTCATACAAACAGCTGCAGAGTAGAGTTTTTATCTTGGAGTGTATTTTTAATACAACGGAGCTTAGTGTACCCATGCCGAGGCGCAATGCTCTTCCCGGGGAGCCTCCTCCTGGGAAACGTTTGGAAACTTGTTCCCTGCAGGGTGGCTCCCCCGGGCTCTCCTGTGACACCTGCGGGGCTGTCTGTGCTGGTATGTGGGAGGAGGTGGACGCGAGCAAGGCACGGTGTTGTGGGCAGCTCTGAGAGGTTCAGGCCTTTACAAGCAAGGCTTTGATTCTATTTTTTGCTGAACTAGCTCAGCCACTTCCTGTGTTTGGCAGCGCCTAGTGCCTCGCTGCACTGTGGCCACTTGAGCCCCGCGAGCCTGCGAGCCGCGCGCCGCCGCAGCCGGTTCGAGAGCCTATTTTAGGTCCCCTGACAATGCGCTTCTCACTTCCTTGGCGAGGAGGAGGAGGAGGACCCGGGCTGGCACTGGCCACTTGTTAACGATGATGACAACTTCGACTTGGACTTGGGCTCCCCTCCCCCACCCGAAATCCCTAGCTCAGCAAATATTTGAACCTGCCCAAGTTAATCATGAAGCCGCGATCGTTATCTGAGAGGGACGTGCGAGCGCCCGGGCTCCTTCCGTCCCCGGCGCAGCCTCGGCCCCGGCGCGCAGCCGGCTTCGGCTTCTGCACGGGCGGCGGGCGCTGAGCTGCGCTGCTGCCGGCGGCGCGTGCGAGCCTCGGGGTCCTGCGCCGCACAGGCTGGAGGAATCGCTTTTGGGATTTTTTTTTTTTCCCGTTGTCGGATACAGGCATTTCTAAGGGATAACCGTTGAAATGCATAACCTGCAAAGTAAGTTGCCTTTCGTTTGGGCACTGCTCTGCCCCTTGGCTGTTTCACTGTTTTGGGGGACTTCTCTGAAAGGTTCATTTCTGCAGTTTGTCTTCGTGTGTGTGTGTGTGTGTGTGTGTGTGTGTGTGTGTGTGTGTGTGTGAGGGAGAGAGGGAGAGATAGTAAGCGCTGCCTGGGGAGGGCAGATGAGAGATTAGGGGAGACACTCCCCCATTTCCTCGAGGGGCACAATGTGAGGGAGAGATGGGGCTTCGGTTGGAAATGGGGAAGGAGGAAATTACCAAGTGCTGGTCTGGAAGTTGGGGCCTGGCCAGGCCTGGGAAGTCACCTGTCTCCCTGCCCTCCTCCCGGGGTCTACCACATGGGTTCCAGCAGCAGGACCGGTTTGCACCAAGTGCTACCAAAGGCATGGGGCACAGGTCCCCTCCGGGCTGTCGCGCTGTCCTCCACAGCTGCTGGGAGGACTTGGGTCAACATTTTCATTAAATTTTTTTTTTCCTGAATCTTTTCTGAGGACATATCCCCACCACCACCATTTTTCTTTGCATTTAGGGTTACTTCAACCTTTAGGCAAAGAGAGCCTGTGAGTGGGAGACGGTGGGAGGGTATAGGTTGAGTCTGCCTGCCTCCTTAGTGGGAAACTGAATTAAACTGGAAGAGAGACACGTGAACAGTGCTCAGAGGCTGTCTTGCCTTTGCTCTATTTCTATATATTTTATGATTCCAAATTTGACAGAACGTCTAAGAATAAATTTCCAGGGCTTCTGTGTTCTTTAAATTGTCACAGAAATATGTGGCATGCACATGTACGTAGATCACACAGCCCACTCTAGTTTTTTAAATTAACTACATTTACATGGGTGGGGGGAACCTTTTCTCCCTTCCTCCCCTCTCACTGTAGGAGAACTAACATTAATTTAGATTTATAGGGGAATTGGTTTCCTCACATTAAATACTGCTAAGAAGGAATAATAACATTTCTTCCCAAAGTGAGGCATTTGAGATGGAGGGGGCAAAAGCCCCCCCTCCGCACACACACACACAAGTGATTACATCACCCACCCCCCCCCCC